AAGAGAGGCCCAAGAGAGCTCCAAGACGGCCTCAAGAGCGCCCAAGAGCGCTCGAAGATCGCCTCACGTGGGGCCCAAGAGGTGATGTTTGGGGCTCCCGATGGGGGGGGGGCGCTATTTGAGGAACCCCCCTTCTTGGATCGATCTCCTCCAAGATTGCCCCAAGAGCTCCCCAAAAGCTCCCAAGAGCGCCCCAAGAGGGCCCCAAGAGGCGCCCAGACGTCCCCAAAAGGCTTCCAAGAGGCTCTCAAGAGACCCCCAACAGGCCCCCAAAAGGCTTCAAGAGGATCCCCGAGGCAGCCAAGATGCCCCCCAGGCGCTCCAAGAGGCCCCCCCGAGGCACCCAAGACGCCCAAGAGCCCCCCAGGACCGCCAAGACGCCCCCAAGACGTCCCAAGAGGCCACCAAGAAACGCCCAATCGATACCCCAAGAGGCTCCGAGAGGCATCCAAGGGACCTCTGACCCTTTTGCTCGCCCTCCTCCTCCTGCTCCTCTTTCCTCCTACCCCTTCTGTTTCTCATCCTCCTCCTCCTCCTCCTCCTCCTCCTCCTCCTCCTCCTCCTCATCATCATCATCATCATCACCATCATCATCATCATCATCATCATCATCATCATCATCATCATCATCATCATCATCATCATCATCATCATCGTCGTCATCATCATCATCAGTATCATCATCATCACCATCATCATCATCAGCAGCAGCAGCATCATCATCAGCAGCATCATCAGAATAATCAGAATCATCATCATCATCAGCATCATCATCAGCTGCATCATCAGCATCATAATAATAATCATCATCATCATCAGCAGCATCATCATCATCATCAACAACATCATCATCATCATCATCATCATCAGCAGCAGCAGCATCATCAGCAGCATCATCATGTTCATTGTCATATTCGTGTTCATCCTTCTTCCCCCCGCTCCCTCATGCATCCGTCCAGCCTCGTTCTCATCCTCCTCCCCCCTTCTCACACGGCTCGGCCGCCCGCCTCTCTGTTCCCGCACCTCCCCCGATCACCTCAGCTCGCCTGGACACCATCTCCGGATGGGCCGGTGGGGATACTTAAGTTGGTCCGCGGCTCCAAGGCGAGGGACAGGGAGCGAGCACAACGTCCGGGGCGCGGTACGTAGATAATTGGCGCGAGATTGCCGCGGATTCCAGCGGACAACACACGCAGCGGCACATGCACATGCCAGGGACAAAATGCCCCTCATTGAGACGCATTTCAGCGTCTGCTGGTGACCGGCCCAGACAGCCCGGCTGGTGGGGAAGCAAAAGGGGCCGGTGGGGATACGCGAAACGTATTATAAGCTCGGGGAGACTCCGGCCGTGGCGACGAGGGCGCCCTCCAGGACGAGCAGCGGCGTCGGGACCGCTTTTCCTCCCGAGGGGGGGGGCGGTCCCGAACCACGAGGAGGTCCCGCTCGCCACCTCATCGCAGCTCTTCTCGGCCGCCCGCTGCATCTCCATCTTGACGATGCCCTGCACGGGGGGGGAGAGAGAGAAAGAGAGAGAGAGAGAGGAAACAAAAAAAGATAGATCGCTGGCGGAGTGGCCTCGACGTCGAGCGCCGCGGAATATCATCTGACCTACTCTGACGTCTTCCTCCTCCTCCTCCTCCTCCTCCTCCTCTTCCTCCTTTCCCCCTTTCCCACCCCCCATCTGCCTCATCCTCCTCTTGTTTCGATGCTTCCGATGCCGGCGATGCAATGCGGAAGGGCAGGCCAGCGGCCAAACCCACACGCACACTAGAGGCCAATGAAGAAGTGCACGACGAAACGATTACGGCACCCAAGACCAAAAAGGAGGCCAGCCACTAAACTGACCAAAGTGTGCAACGTCGTACTCCAGGACCGCAGTCTCCTCCTCCTCCTCCTTCTCCTCCTCCTCCTCCTCCTCCTCCTCCTCCTCCTCCTCCTCCTCCTCCATCTCCATCCCTTTCCTCCTTCGGGGAGAAATGCCGACGGGGGCGTCCGAAGAAATGCGCGACCTGGTATGAAATTTGACGCGAACTCCCGCAGCAAACATCCCACAAACTCTGAACCATGAAATTCACGGCGGGCGGGTCAAGAAGCGGAGGCAAAGCTGAGTCTCCTTTCCTCCTCCTCCTCCTCCTCCTCCTCCTCCTCCTCCTACTCCTCATTGTCCTCATCATCATCATCATCATCATCATCATCATCATCATCATCATCATCATCATCATCATCATCATCATCATCATCATCATCCTCATCCTCATCTCATCATCATCATCATCATCATCATCATCATCATCACCATCATCATCATCATCAACCACATGAGCATCATGATCATCACCACCATCATCATCCTCGCCATCGTCGTCGTCACCGTCCTCCTCCTCATCAATGTCCTCATCTTCATCATCATCATCATCCTCATCCTCATTCTCACCATCACCATCACCATCGCCATCACCATCATCATCATCACATCATCATCATCATCATCATCATCATC